TTTTCTGGATCATGAAACCATTGACATAAAGAACCTTGTAAAAATAGTCTTAATAAGAGGGTGGTCTTAATTCAGGGGTGGTCTAAAGTAGGGATTCTACTTTAAATTGAATGTAATCAATTATTTATCAATTACTCTATTCAAAGTCAAAGTCGTAAAGTAATTGTAATTTAATTGATTACAGAGGCAAGTCTGAGTAATCAATAATAATCAATCACAATAAAATGTGAAAGTAATTGTAATTAATTAATTACTGATCAATGTAATCATCCCCAGGTCTGGATCATAGTTCTTTATCAGGGCACATCATTTCAAAGAAAATTCTCAAAAGGTATAGGAAATAAGTGAGGTGGTACGAAAAATTATATATTTCAAAAAAGGGCAATTCTGTCAATATCCACATGGTGATTTGAAAAACTTAACCGAAAGTGTTGGACAGATGTCAAAATCCAAGTGAGTTGGATATTAATATAACATGTTCTATGCGATTAATGATGAATTTTGCAGCATTTATCACCATATTTCTACTGTGTAACTAATGACAAGAGGGCCATGATGGCCCTGAAGTCGCTCACCTGTATATAGGCCCCCCGGAGCGGGGCCAGTTTAAACCCCAGGGCTTTTCTTTGAAAAAAACTTGCTAGATACCCATTAGAAGATGTTTCATGCTAAACATCTAAGGTCTAGCTTGTTGGGTTTTTTAAAAGAAGATTTTTTCAAGTTTTTTCTTTACACATATAGTTAAAAACAATGATACACCTGGGACAGGGCCAGTTTTGACCCCAGGGCTTTTATTTTAACAATCTTTGTAGACACTATCTAGAAAATATTTCATGCTTAATATCTAAACTCTAGCTATTCGGGTTTTTTCAAAGAAGATTTTTAAGTTTTTGCTATACACATATAAGGAAAATCAATGTCCCCTTGGGCGGGGCCAATTTTGACCCCAGGGCTTTTATTTGAACTTACTTGGTGACACCCATTAGAAGATGTTTCATGCTAAATATCTTAGGTCTAGCTCTTTGGGTTCTTTAAAAGAAGATTTTTAAGTTTTTACTATATGCATCTAGGGAAAATCAATGACGCCCTGGGGCGGGGCTAATTTTGACCTCAAGGCTTTTATTTGAACAAACTTGGTAGACACTCACAAGAAGATGTTTCTTGCCAAATATCTAAGCTCTAGCTCTTTGGATGTTTTAGAAAAAGATATTATAAATTAAAGTGTTTTCTTTTGGTTGCCATGGGAACCAGAGTTCTGCATGGAATTAAATTCTTTGAACAATTTTCAAAGGTGACCACAAAAGGAACATTCCTGTGAAGTTTGGATGAAATTGGCTTATTGGTTTATGAGGAGATGTCATTTAAAGTTAAAGTTTACGGAAGCTGGACAGACGCCGGACGAAAAGCGATCACAAAAGCTCATCCTGTCACTTTGTGACAGGTGAGCTAAAAAGAGCATCATGAAATTACAAAGCTTGCTAACCAAATTGTGTGCCTTAGCAATTTAATAATACTGGTTTACCATACAAATATTAGTTATTTTTAAACCATGGTTGTTTGTTATAATTATATATACCGGTATATCAACCAGAAACAAACAGTTATACATGTACCAGTATATTAACCAGAAACAAACAGTTATACATGTACCAGTATATTAACCAGAAAAAAGCAAAAGAAACACATTCTACCTCTTTTTGTTCTGTCTCAGGAGCAGTAAATTTTCTTTTTGATTCTGTATGTTTTTTCTCAGCTTCCTGTGGACCTACAAATTTCAAAACACAAATATATAAGACTGTAGTTTCTTTTTAATAAAAGGGAAAATTACATGTACTTTAATGAAAAAGGATAATTTTTAAATATAATATCAACTTTTAAATCGTGATTTTCTTGGAGAATCTCCACGATAATACCTTTACCCTCTCTAAAACTCTGCGATTGTGCATGGTCATGGGTGTTTCTCCGCGATTACTCTCAGAAAAACGAGGGGGATTAAAGAGTGCGCTTTAACGTCGATTGCGGAGGAAGCACAAAAATTTGTACATTACACGCGAGCTGAACTGTAAATGACAAAGTTATATATACAAATGTAATCAAAATTCAATCATTTAATGGTCAATGTCATTTAAACGTCAACGACATATCTTAATTATTATACATGTCTGTTTGGTCACAAGTGTTGTTTATTCAATGTGTGATTCAAATCCTAAAGATTGTTCTGTCTAAGTATGAAAATAATCCATTGATTAAAAACCAAGTTACAAGTACAATGAATTATACAAATCATCAGTAAAAATAAAATACTTTGATCATCAAGGTCAGGGTCATACATGCGTCAAGGTCAATTTGAGTTTGATATACATTCAGGTCCTGGCTTTTATGACATTGTGACCTAATATGATGTTCATTTATCAATAACGGAATTACAAGATTTAAGATCTAGGTCACATCTAAATCATTCCTTACGTTTAATTGGTAGCAAGTCTTGTTTTGTCCAAGTTTGAATCAAACCCTAAATAACTCAAATAACAAAATTATGATAATTTAAACCAAAATTCAATAATTTGACTTGGACGGTCAAGGTCATTTAAAGCTCAAGATCTTGATCAGTTCAATCCTTTAGAAGGTCCTGTTTATGTTTTTTTTAAATATGCAGATGATCCTTTTATTAATTGACCATCAAGGTCATTAAAGAGCCAAGGTAAGTTTGAGTTAAATTTTTATAAATGTCTTATCTTAAAGAATGTTCTGTTATAATATGATGTCGATTTATAACAAATTAAAAGCCAACTACAGAAAAAAAAAATATTATTCTTAAACACGCTTCGTACTATTTTCCTTTCAAACAGATAGGACAATCAAGTATATTATTTAGACGTTAATACTTGGTTGCTACTTGCCATTATGCGATAATGGCCCGAAGATGTGCATAATGGCCTGAGGGCCGCAGGCCCAAAGGACATTATGTACTCGAGGGCCATTATCGCATAATGGCGAGCAGCAACCAAGTATTAACGACTTTAATACCTATGTCCGAAATACAGCGTTTAGACATTGCCGCTAATCTTGGTTGTCACCTTTTCTATGTCAATGTGAACAAATGTCTATCATACTGTACAAATTGACACTCCGATTAACTTAGAAAACAAGACAACACAAAATAAATATAAGAAAATGTTGTTATATTGTATGCCCACTCAATTTTAAATGTAGGGGTACATGTACCCCCTGTCATTGAAAATTGGGGGTACATTTCAAAATCTGGGTAAACACATAAGTTTAAACATGTTTATGTTTGTAAGAACATTTTAGTCAACATGATATTAATGAACAGCTGTTTCACTTAGTATTACTACCCACTAACACAGGCACAAACTCATCACTTAAGGTAGTAATATAACAGCCATTACAATTACTGGTATTTTGTTTAGTCCATATGATTATTACCCATAACCAAAATTTTGTATATCCGAAATTATGTACATTTATTACAAAATCTCTATTATTTATATTTTCATTTCATATGACATGCATAAAGCTCACAATTGAAGGTAGTTGTTAAAAAATCAAGTGACTAACTTTTTGCTGATCATTGGAGAACTCGAAATACTTTTTGGCAGTTGTAAATATCGTTTCGTATCCAAAACTTTTTCGTTCTTTTTTTCTTAAGACAGTACATGTGACGTCAAAACATGACTAAAATATTTCCGAATCAGACTGAGATGACTTTGAAAGCAGACATGCAATTGTGGCAGGGTTTAGACTGTTCATACCATTGGTAGATGGCATAGGCTACCCCAAACACTTCTGACGATTTTACTTTGCGTGCATGTACCCCCTGCTTACAATTTTTATGTGTGCATCTAGAATTTTGTGCGTGAATTACGCACTGTAGTGCGTGAATGGGCATGCTGATTGTTATTTCTATCAATAATACAGAACCCTACTCTTCACATTTTTTTGTGAGAATTACATTTAGATCTAGTGCTAGTTTTTTATGAAGTTTTGTGCCATCAAAAATGGTTTCTGAGACTGTCTAGGCTCGGACTTTTTCGTACAGTCAATCTAAAATCATATTTGGAATTTCTGAGGTCTATTTTCTTGAGTTTATAAATCTTCAATGATAAGCTTGCTGATTGTGATTAATTTTGTCATTTAAACTTTTTAAAAAAATGTGTACAAGTGACTACAGTTCATTCAACGTCAGCAGTCATCTTGAAAGTTGATGACGTCATTCTGCACGTGCGCTCATTCACTCGCCCATTATGGAAAAATAATGCTGAGTAGCAAGGCGGCAAAATTGCATAATGACCTAGATCTTGCCATAATGGCCCTGAAATACCCTAGATTTTGTTACTATATATAGTAACATAGGTATTAAAACACAATACATATACACAAAAATAGGTTATGTGATGTCATATATGACGTCAATGATCTAAATGACGTCAGTGACAATATCATTACCCTCAATATAATTTTTGCATATTCTTATAAATTCCTTTAATGTATTAGAATGGAAATATATGTTATTTGTTTTATATTATAATATCATAATGCATGGATTATTGTTCAAATGCTTTGTAATAAATCACTCCGGAGTATCGGTCTTTGTGATTATGCTCCTGCGCATTTGAATGCTAACCATGCATAATTCTTTAAAAATGCACTCAAAATTGATATCTCCATGTATTAAATTCCAAACTGAATAAAAACATTATGATAAACCGTTCTAAAGTAATACTTCAGTTAATGAATACAAGTACTAGTAATTTAGAAGATCCTCTCTTGAACAAAATTATAGATCAAAAATATATACCCTAGTAGTAATCTTTAAAATATCATTCATATCTTTGACTGTTTTTTGTAATCATTTAGTAACTGGTTCAAAAGGGTGACGTAGTATGCAATTACATTATAATATGTACATGTATACATGTACATCAAATAAAAAGTTTTTTTTTTCTTTCAGATAAACTTGAATTTCTATTCGTACATACCTGTATATCTATGTTGAGATCGAACTTTTTCCATTTCCTTTTCATATTTTTCTATTGTATCTACATAAATATCATTTCCACTGTCTCGACATATCTGTTTCAATTTTTCATAATTTTCTCCTGGTGTAATGATGTTTCTGGTGCATAAAGTTTCAAATATATCTAGACTCGATTTATTGGCAATTAATCCTCGAGGCACATAAGTTCCAAAATGAAAAATCAAATTTTTATACTCTTTGCTGTTTTCATCTAAATCATCGTTAATTTCAGAGATAAGTTTATGATGAAGTCTGCGTAGTTCTGTTTGTTCCTCAGAGGAATTGTCGTAGGAAGATGCCATGTTATCACTGTTTAAGAATTACCTGAGGACAAAGGTTGATATATTAATATACAAAAATAAAATACATGTATGAAATAATTTCCAGATGAAACTAGAAATGTGTCCATAGGACACGGGTGCCCCCACCGCGCCACTGTTCTGTCAATCTTTTTACTAAGTCAAGGGAAATAACTCTACAAATACTGGATAAATCCACAAGCGAAACCCAAGGTGCAAATCTAAATATGCTGAGCAAGCTGCCCATAAGGTTTAATGACTATGTAAAATCCTTTTTTGAGTAACTTGCGTCACAAGTTGAAAATTGCAAAAAATTTCTAAGTGAAGGGCAATTACTCTAAAAATACTAAATAAATCACGAAGAAAATACCTGGTGCACAACTGCACATGCTGATCAATATTCCTGTAAAGTTACATGACTGTAGGTCAAATACTTTTTGAGTTACGTGCGACACATGTTGAAAATTGCAAAATTTTACTAAGTCAAGGGCAATAACTCCAAAAATACTAAAAATATCCACACAAAAATACCCAGGTGCACAACTACACATGCTGATCAACATTCCTGTTAAGTTTCATGACTCTAGGTCAAATACTTTTTTAGTTGCATGCGACACAAGTTGAAAATTGCAAAATTTTACTAAGTCAAGGGCAATAACTCTGAAAATACTAAAAATATCCAGACGAAAATACCCAGGTGCACAACTGCACAGGTGCACAACTGCACATGCTGATCAACATTCCTGTAAAGTTTCATGACTCTAGGTCAAATACTTTTTGAGTTACATGCGACACAAGTTGAAAATTGCAAAATTTTACTAAGTCAAGGGCAATAACTCTGAAAATACTAAAAATATCCAGACGAAAATACCCAGGTGCACAACTACACATGCTTATCAACATTCCTGTAAAGTTTCATGACACTAGGTCAAATACTTTTTATGTTACATGCGACACAAGTTGAAAATTGCAAAATTTTACTAAATCAAGGGCAATAACTCTGAAAATACTAAAAATATCCAGACGAAAATACCCAGGTGCACAACTACACATGCTGATCAACATTCCTGTAAAGTTTCATGACTCTAGGTCAAATACTTTTTCAGTTACGTGCGACACAAAAGTGAACGGACGGACGGACGGACGGACGGACGGACGGACGGACAAGGGTAAATCTAAATGCCCGCCACTAACGTGGGGGCACAAAAAATGCATATAGAATTTGTGTAACTTGTAACATATTTTTTATGTAATATTTTTTATGTAACGTAATTGATCACATATACATGTAATTTCATTTATAATCTCAATTCAATTTATGGGGCTCGAAACCTGGAAAAGATACAATACTTTAAACTTAATTTATTTTATTTTTAATTGCACAAACATAAAAAAGTAATAATAATTATATGGTCAGCATTAAATTTTAAGTCATTTGTTAGTGTGTTTTTCAAAAGTAACAAACACATAAACACATTTAGACACGGTAGCAAATTTTAAGAAACTGCCTCTTCATGTCCCAGAGTGCAATATCATCCAAATATATCACCTACAGTGCGGGTAATATCACTATGTATATGCCAATTTGTGTATTGTATATCATCCAAATATATCACCTACAGTGCGGGTAATATTACTATGTATATGCCAATTTGTGTATTGTATATCATCCAAATATATCACCTACAGTGCGGGTAATATTACTATGTATATGCCAATTTGTGTATTGTATATCATCCAAATATATCACCTACAGTGCGGGTAATATCACTATGTATATGCCAATTTGTGTATTGTATATCATCCAAATATATCACCTACAGTGCGGGTAATATCACTATGTATATGCCAATTTGTGTATTGTATATCATCCAAATATATCACCTACAGTGCGGGTAATATCACTATGTATATGCCAATTTGTGTATTGTATATCATCCAAATATATCACCTACAGTGCTGGTAATATCACTATGTATATGCCAATTTGTGTATTGTATATCATCCGAATATATCACCTACAGTGCGGGTAATATCACTATGTATATACCAATTTGTGTATTGTATATCATCCCAATATATCACCTACAGTGCTGGTGATATCACTATGTATATGCCAATTTGTGTATTGTATATCATCCAAATATATCACCTACAGTGCGGGTGATATCACTATGTATATGCCAATTTGTGTATTGTATATCATCCAAATATATCACCTACAGTGGGGTGATATCACTATGTATATGCCAATTTGTGTATTGTATATCATCCAAATATATCACCTACAGTGGGGTGATATCACTATGTATATGCCAATTTGTGTATTGTATATCATCCAAATATATCACCTACAGTGCGGGTAATATCACTATGTATATGCCAATTTGTGTATTGTATATCATCCAAATATATCACCTACAGTGGGGTTGATATCACTATGTATATGCCAATTTGTGTATTGTATATCATCCAAATATATCACCTACAGTGCGGGTAATATCACTATGTATATGCCAATTTGTGTATTGTATATCATCCAAATATATCACCTACAGTGCGGGTAATATCACTATGTATATGCCAATTTGTGTATTGTATATCATCCAAATATATCACCTACAGTGCTGGTAATATCACTATGTATATGCCAATTTGTGTATTGTATATCATCCAAATATATCACCTACAGTGCGGGTGATATCACTATGTATATGCCAATTTGTGTATTGTATATCATCCAAATATATCACCTACAGTGCGGGTAATATCACTATGTATATGCCAATTTGTGTATTGTATATCATCCAAATATATCACCTACAGTGCGGGTGATATCACTATGTATATGCCAATTTGTGTATTGTATATCATCCAAAATATATCACCTACAGTGCGGGTAATATCACTATGTATATGCCAATTTGTGTATTGTATATCATCCAAATATATCACCTACAGTGCGGGTGATATCACTATGTATATGCCAATTTGTGTATTGTATATCATCCAAATATATCACCTACAGTGCGGGTAATATCACTATGTATATGCCAATTTGTGTATTGTATATCATCCAAATATATCACCTACAGTGCGGGTAATATAACTATGTATATGCCAATTTGTGTATTGTATATCATCCAAATATATCACCTACAGTGGGGGTAATATCACTATGTATATGCCAATTTGTGTATTGTATATCATCCAAATATATCACCTACAGTGCGGGTAATATCACTATGTATATGCCAATTTGTGTATTGTATATCATCCAAATATATCACCTACAGTGCGGGTAATATAACTATGTATATGCCAATTTGTGTATTGTATATCATCCAAATATATCACCTACAGTGCGGGTGATATCACTATGTATATATGCCAATTTGTGTATTGTATATCATCCAAATATATCACCTACAGTGCGGGTGATATCACTATGTATATGCCAATTTGTGTATTGTGTATCATCCAAATATATCACCTACAGTGCAGGTGATATTACTTATGTATATGCCAATTTGTGTATTGTATATCATCCAAATATATCACCTACAGTGCGGGTGATATCACTATGTATATGCCAATTTGTGTATTGTGTATCATCCAAATATATCACCTACAGTGCAGGTGATATTACTTATGTATATGCCAATTTGTGTATTGTGTATCATCCAAATATATCACCTACAGTGTGGGTGATATCACTATGTATATGCCAATTTGTGTATTGTGTATCATCCAAATATATCACCTACAGTGCGGGTAATATCACTATGTATATGCCAATTTGTGTATTGTGTATCATCCAAATATATCACCTACAGTGCGAGTAATATCACTATGTATATGCCAATTTGTGTATTGTATATCATCCAAATATATCACCTACAGTGGGGGTAATATCACTATGTATATGCCAATTTGTGTATTGTATATCATCCAAATATATCACCTACAGTGCGGGTAATATCACTATGTATATGCCAATTTGTGTATTGTATATCATCCAAATATATCACCTACAGTGCGGGTAATATCACTATGTTTATGCCAATTTGTGTATTGTATATCATCCAAATATATCACCTACAGTGCGGGTAATATCACTATGTATATGCCAATTTGTGTATTGTAATTTGTATATCATCCAAATATATCACCTACAGTGCGGGTAATATTACTATGTATTTATGCCAATTTGTGTATTGTATATCATCCAAATTTATCACCTACAGTGCTGGTAATATTACTATGTATATGCCAATTTGTGTATTGTGATATCATCCAAATATATCACCTACAGTGCGGGTGATATCACTATGTATATGCCAATTTGTGTATTGTATATCATCCAAATATATCACCTACAGTGCGGATAATATTACTATGTATATGCCAATTTGTGTATTGTATATCATCCAAGCCCTCTTATGGAAGTAGTTTATATGTTAACCCATTGCTTCATGAGCATTTTGTGAAAAATGGCTGTTTTCATTGAAAAGTCTCCCGTTACAAGTTCAAATTGCTATAATACTATAAAAACTGCTTCAACACTAATCAAACTTGGCACAAATGTTGACTGGACCATTGCCCTTGCAACAACATGCTCAGGCTTAAATTTTCTGTTACCATGGCAACGAGGGGACATCTCAAAATTGCCAAAAATCACTATTTTGCGTTGATTTTTTCCATCATAATTGATTTCAAAGTGCTGCAACTTCTCAATGGATTGAGATAGAGTCAAATGCTTTTCAGCGTTGGTTACACGTTACCTTATGATCAATCTGAGGTCATTTATAGCCTCTCACAAGTCCAAAATTTTCTTGGCGATGAGGGGGACTCCGCCCCCCTTCAAACCCCCCAAACAGAAGGGGGCATATCCCCCTTCTGGCAACCCCCTGATGTATCTTTTGGTTGGGGGGCCGCGCCGAAAAAGTGGTCACTTTTTTTAACAACATTTCTCAAACAAAAACAAGTGTTGGGGGCCTAAATAAGGCATTTTTTCACCATTTG